CAGTAGTGAAACAGAGTGAAAGTTTTATTTGAATGCACTCTAAGGGAGGTGCAGGCCAGAGTCAAGGTTCAGGCAGGTTTACTTGAACAAAGCGAAGAAGGAAAATGGAGAAAAGGGAAGCTTCTTGAACTCCTGCTTGGTACTGGGCATAATCCCTTGCCAACTCCTGCAGCCAGGGTCTCCTCGCATCCAGTCTGCTTGGATCTGCACGGTGTGGGAACTGAGTCCCTACCACCCCAGGATTTGGGGGAGCCGTGGAACACTGGATGGAGTGAGATGATGTTCTGAGAACTTCCCAAAGGCAAAGAAAAGAGATTTTCAGGCAGGCTACTAAAGCGCACAGTCTTCTAGCTGCAGTCCCGTCTGGGTCACGCAAGCAAGGAACTAGCAAGCCCACAGTCCCTCCCTACTTCTCTAAAGGAGGACAGAGAGAGTGATACACTTGAAGAAAGGCGAGCATGGGCAACCTCAGAGAGGAGGCACGCTTAAGGGTGCCAGGTCTGGGATTTTCTAGGGCTTTGTTGGGTGAGGATCAGCCCAAGGCATGATGTGCACAAGTGATTCCTAGTTCCTTCGAAGATTTATCTTGAGAACAGAGTTATTTAGGTGACTGTTGGTTTGGGACTTCAGCATTCTTTGTCCACATACGTATATTTATATTTATGAAGTCTGTGTCCTGCCCTGGTTACAAAGTTACCTGATTAAAGAATAAACTGGGCCTTTTAGCAGGCTAAAGTAAATCTTACAATGGCATGACCTAATGGACACAGTGAAGACATGGGCTATGCTTGGAGACTTTTATCTGGGGAATAGTGGGACATTCTAAGTAACTCCTGGCCTTTGGAGCTTCAACTAATTAACTCATTAGCTCTAAGTGTTTTCTGGCTCCCTAGTTTTATCCGGTTAAGTCTTTTAGTGGGGTCCCTTTTAGTGGGGTTTACTGGCTTTATTCTCCCTCTACCTGCTCGTATCTATTTTTCTGCCTAAGGAGACCATCCACTACAATCTGGGAAAATAAGTGACTGTTGGAATTAAGCTAACGCAGACCACCAGCCTGATTTCTGAAGAGAAGCCAGAGTTATCACGACCCTGAGATACGCATGTCCTGGAGAGGGGTTCCCAAGCTGTGGGGCTTAGCCCAGCAGGATCAGCCATCACCTGGGGACTTTAAAAATGCAAATTCTTGTGCCTACTCAGACCCATCATATTGGAAGCTCAGAGGGTGGGGCCCAGCACGCACACTTTATCAGGTGGTCCTGATGGATGTTAAAGTGCAGTTCTAAACATACCGGCACTCTAAACTAAACACACAAATAATCTGATTTAAAAATGGGCAGAGGACCTGAACATTTTCCCAGAGTAGATGCGTAGATGGCCAACAGGCACATGAAAAGATGCTCCACACTACTCATCATCAGGGCAATGCAAATTAAAGCTACAATGGGTTATCACCTCACACTGCCAAGAAAGTAAATACCAAGTGTTGACGAGGATATGGAGAAAAGGGAACCTTTGTCCACTGCTGGTGGGATTGTAAATTGGTGTGTCCATTACAGACAGAAGAATGGAGGTTTCTCAAAAAACTAAAAATAGAAATGCCATATTACCCAGCAATTCCACTTCTGGGAATTTACCTGAAGAAAACAAAATCACTAATCCAAAAAGTTAGATGCACCCATATTCTTATCGCAGTGTTATTTACAATAACCAAAATATAGAAACAACCTAAATGCCCATTGATAGATGAATGGATAAAGATGATGTGGTACATATACACAATAGAATATTACTCAGCCATAAAAAAAGAAATCTTGTAAATTGTGACAACATGGATGAACCTAGAGGGTATTACGTCAAGTGAAATAAGTCAGAGAAGGATAGATGCCATATGATTTCACTTACAAGTAGAATATAAAAATTAAATGGAACTGAAATAAACTCCTGAGAACAGATGGTGGTTACCATAGGGGAGGGAGGTGAGGTTATGAGTGAAATAGGTGAAGGGGAAAAAATTAGAATGTTTGATATTTTGATCTGGGTGATGGGTCCATGAGTGTACAGACATGTCAGAATTCATCAAGCTGCATGCTAAAATTTGTGCAATCGATTGAATGTAGAAAAAAAGTCAGCGATTTGCTCCAACAGCTGGACCCCAGTCCATGCTACAGAGCCTAGGTCAGGGAAGGCTGCAGAGCTATCAGGGTGACCATGAGCTGCTTGGGTCTTAACAGACATACTTGGATGCTGAAAAATAATGAGTAAATATATGTAATAAATGCACTTACCAGTTCTCAACCTATCTGGTGAAGGGCCATTTCTTTCATTTTTGTTTTTTAAATTTCCATTCTATCATGGGTCAGGACTTGTATAAAATGCAATAAAAATGAAATCATTTAGAAAATAAGAGCTATGTAAAATATAAACCCAAATTTTGTATTAGTAGATCTAAAGATGTAAAATTACTCTGTCAAATCGGTATCAACCTTTCTAAATGGCATCCACTCAATTTCTGTACTTATCTCTTAGCGAACCAGCCACAAGCACTTTGCCCCGGGGCCCCCGGCCAGCAGACCCGGCTCAGAGCGGCCACCCGCTAGCGGGCCGTGGAATGCCTTCCGCTCTGATTGTTAGCATGGCCTGTTATATGTCAGAGTCCCTGCTGGGAAAATATAATTAAAAACAAAATCTTCTCCCAGCACAAAAAACCTCAGTATAAAGGCAGAAAAGGAAGAGACCAGTTTTATTATTGTATAAACATTAGACCCCACTGCACAAATGGAAAGCAGCCCTCTGTGTGGCAGGGCGGACATAACCGAGCCTCAGGTCGGCTTTGCAGTGGGGAGTCTGGGGACAAGTGTGTCCACAGGAAGCGGGGGGTCGGGGCTTATCTTTCTTGGTGATTAATTTCCAAAGAGATGGTTCCCAGGTCTTAGAGGAAACAGTTCTGAGTCATGAAACTGGCCAAAGGCTTGTTTGGCCATTAAAAAGATTTGCATACCAACAAGATTTGGGAAAGAGAAAGACATTTTGAAAAAAATAGGTGTGTATGTGTGTGTGTCTTCCTGTATCTGCAACAGGGGGAATAAATTTATTCGCCCTTACACCCGTAAATTCTGAAGATGTTTGTTTTATTTTTTCTTTTCTGCCTGATCTATAACTTGCCATGGGTAACAAGCAGGCCTGTGAGTTATGATCCCAGCATAATTTTACTTTCTTAGTAACCATTTCGTTTTAAATTTGATTCACAGTGGAGTGCTACCATGGGTAGAACTATGGTTAAGGAGGTGGCTTTCACGTTTGGCTTCTCTAACTGAGGAAAAATTGGGTATTTTCCCACTTTTGTCTAAAGTTTATTTTTAGCTGTGACTATTTAAAATAGTTCATTTTTGTACACATCAAGGAAATGTTAATTATTGCAGGTAAGACTATTCTAAAGCCTACTACAAAAGCTTTTTTTCCTTCTTTAATACTTATAAAGGAGATAATGTTAAAATGCTCTTATGCAAATTTTAAAATGCCCTGTTACATTAACAATGCTAATGACAGTTAATGCATTCTCAAAGCTTCCGTGTGATCCTGGAATATTTAAAGTGCTTAGAAACGTTTCAGGACCATATTGCAAATATGTGAGAGATGGGACTTTTCATGGAGATTGCTCCTGGAAAATGGATTCAGTGTGAATTTAAGGGTAAAGAAGAGTTAGAAAGTCATGTAGTGTAACAGAAATCTCGTGGACAAGCTGAAAACCTTTTTTCTCAGGGGGAAGCTACAGAGTCTGAGATGAGTGGTCAGTGCAGTAGATTCAGAAGGGGGAATGGTCCTTCATAAGGCAAAGCAGGGGAAGGTGAGGAAAGGACTCTCCTGGGGTGAAAGGGAGGGGCAATCATAAGAAATGAGGAAAGGATTATCCCAGGAAGGGGAGGAATGGATCCCAGGACATCAGGAAAGGATGGTCCCAGGCACAGGCCAAGTGACGCTGATGAGGAGCCCTCTTCTAGATGGGCATCGCGTCGCCCCTCTGCCAGGACCAGCCGGAACGAGCACAGGGATGGCACCTTTCACGTGGGTTCTGCCTGCGAACCGAATGCGGGAAGGCAGCCCCCGACTTGTATAGTGTCCCAGGGGATTCTTCCTGCAGTGCCTTTGACCAGTAAAGATTCAAACTCCAGATGGCTTTACTGCGGCGAATTCAGGTTGCCCCAAAGTCTTCACACAAGCACCTCGTATTCTAGACGCCTGTTTGCTGATTTCAACTTCTGTGTCCTCCCTCCTTTCTTCCCTGAGCTCCTTAGCACAGGCAGACCTGGTTTTATTGAACTTCACAGATACTGCATTTTTTCTTAATTGAAGGTTTGTGGCAGCCCTGCATGGAGCAAGCCTATCGGTGCCATTTTTCTAACAACTTTTGCTCACTTTGTGTTTCTTTGCCGCATTTTAGTAATTCTTGCAGTATTTCAAACATTTTTATTATTATTATTATTATATTTGGGATGGTGATCAGTGATCACCATGCGCCAAAAGCTCAGATGGTGGCTAGCAAATTTTAGGAATAAAGTATGTGCTAATTAAGGTATGTGCATTGTTTCTGGCTTTTCAGGCACAATGCTATTGCACTTAGTGGACTACAATAGAGTGCAGACGTAACTTTCATATGCACTGGGAAACCAAAAAATTCATCTTTATTGCTATACTTGCTTTATTGCAGTGGTGTGGAGCCAGACCCACACATCTTGGAGGTCTTCCTGTAATAAACACAGATGCAGAGAGGTGTGTGGTGCAGTCACTGCAAGAACGCCAGTTGGGTGCTTTGTGGATGTTTCCACCTGGAATCTTTAGAAAAGAGCCTGTTGGGGAAATACCATTAAAACAAAATCTTCTCCCATCCAGAAACCCTCTCCACACAGGTAGTAGAGAAAGAAACACTTTATTATTTGACGTGTTAAACCAGAATGTGATGCAGTCTGCTAAGAAATCTCAAAGAAGGGAAGAAATGGCCCCCCTTCCATAGCCAAGCAGATGCAGCCCACCCCCTGTTCGCGGGATAAACAGTAACCAGCCTGTCAGTGAGAGGCTTGTCCAGCTCTGTTTGTCACACATAGTTCATCCTAACTTCACCTGGACATTGTGGTGACTCTCTGAGTCAGCCTCCTGGCTGTACCCAGAGGAAAGGCAAGCCTGAGGTCCCTGTGTCTGGCGGTGGCTCTGGTGTTAGAGCAAGGCTTCCCCAGGTACTGTCGGGGCCCTGCCCAGGACCCAGAGGTGGGGGCGCTGTTTCTCCAGGCTTGCATTGCAGAAAGGGGCCCTCGGGTTGCGGGGTCCTAAAGCTGACAGTAGGCCTATCTAGTCTTCAAAGGGGTGCGTTACAGAGAGATGAAAAAGTGCTCACAACGGCAAGGTTTCTAAGGTAAATTCTGTGAGAAATAAAGAGAGAAGGGAAATCTTTCCCTTAATTTCAACCCAGAGAATTAAGCCTCTTATTTTTAATTTGTATTTGTCCTTAACATCAGGACATTCAAATGAGTGAGCAGACCAGGGCCAGCACACCCAGACACTGGCCAGAGCACCGGGGCCTTCCCAGGCTCCCAGAAGCAGGGTGCTCACGGTGCAGCCCAGCTGGGCGACGCTGAGCGTCGGGAGACTGCCAGGGGCACCCAGGCCTGCTGGAGCCACTCCTTTTTCCAAGAATCAAAGCACGAGAAACACACTCAACAAAATAACCAGAGGGGGCCTTCCCGCCGACTAGATGCAGGAGGATCCCGCGCCGGGTGGGAGGGAGAGCTGTCAGGGCTCGGGGCCTGGATGCCCGGGACCTCGGCATCCAGGAGGAGGCCTCCAGCCAGCCTTGCTCCCAAGAGCAGAGGTTTATTCAGTGCCTAGCGTGGCGAGCGCTGAGGTGGGCGCTGCATGCTGCATCTTACTGAAGTCCCCGAGCAGCGCAGGATGGAGGTGATGTTGGCTCCGTCTATCAGGTGAGACTCAAGAAGTTCCGTCAGAATGTGGCCCACACGGTCGTCTAGGTGAAGGGAGAGGCCGGTAGCAGTCAGACAGAGGTGTGTGACTAACTGTCGTCTGAAGAGAAGGCGACAAGATTTACATGTCCTAGGCAAAGAGGGTACTTACAATCCCACCTTTACCTTTCATTATCCATTTTCCCTTTTACCACGTCATCTCTTAATTATTTATTTGTTCAATTTAGGTCCCACGATCAGGGTTTGTGTTACTGTTGTTACACCCAATACCTTATCATCTTTCCGTGTTCCAGGAGGCCACCTGCTGCATCCCATCTGCTGACAGAAACTTTGGTTCGCATGGTTTCTTGCTGTTCACAGAAATCACCAGTCACTGTGTCTTTGACAGGCAGAGGGCAGCCTGTGTTCTGTGCTGCCCATGGGAAGAAGCAGATGGGCAAATACTTTGCAAAGAAAAGACATGAAAGGAGGCTATTTTTTGGACCTCAGTCCTCCTCTGCCCTCTGGGCACACCCCCACCTCCTTAGGGAATTGCCTGCTCCTGGCATCCTTGTCACTGCGGCCAGGATCTGGTCGAGGGGAGGGGATGAAATGGAGGGCCTCCCCTGCTGACGGGCCTCCTAGCTGGCTTGGCGCATGTGACATGGTGACAGTGAGCCCTGGGGCGCCCGTCATTCCCTTCTAGCCTGAGTGTGCGTGCGGCACATGCCCACACTCTGCCGTCTTGGTTGCAGGCGCCACGTCTTCCTAGGGGCCCCTCGGTGGGCAGCACATTTCCCTCCTGGGGATTCCCTTCTAGTGGCAAAAAGATGGGACAGCTGATGATTCACGGACGATTTCATTACAGGTCTGATGCTTACTGTAAAAAAAAGTCCACTGGGACTGTGTCCTTCAACATAGGTGTTCCAGTCTGGTTTGGAACGCTTTGACAAATACGAAGGGGTTTTGAAACTACTGTCCATGTTAGAGATATGAAAGATGGCCAAGGGTGTTCTCCTGAAGTCTTGACCCAAGGCAAAATAAAGAGGTCATAATTAATAATTCTTTGTAAGGGGGATTCAATCACTGCATATTGGCAATTTGCCATTACAGCAAGGAGTTTAAAAAGAGAAGAATTTTAGTGAAATTTAAAGTGAAGCTTGGGCATCTCTATCCAGGGAGCACTCTGAGAGACCCACATGTTACGTGAACCCTCAGCGAGGGAAGGCGGGTTCACCTGGCTGGGTGGAGAGGTGTGCTTCCTGGGTGCCCAGGCTGAGGGTGTTCCTGGCGGGCATTCCGGAGGAGCAGCAGGTGAGCTAAATCTGCCTTGAAAAATGGATGTTGGTTTGATCCTGGGACCAAATACCGAAGAACTTAGAGCTAATAATAGCAGAGCGGTACAAAGAAAAGCAGTGATGAAGCTTGGGTAGTGAACTTCCAATCCACGGAGTTCAGAAAAAAATAAATGAAGGAGACAAATAGAAGGCTTATGCGTGAGTTTTTGTCTGTAAATGGAATATATTTTAAGAGCACTAAAGGACTCTCCAGTGCAACTTTTATGAAGAAATCTGTATCTAGGTAGAAGAAAAATACTGTAGGCTTCTGTTAAATGAATATCAAATCTCATTAGCTACTACGAAAGCTAGTATTTTAGAGCTAAACATTCAGATGCCTTTTGTGCTGATAAAGGGGGACAAACATGCAGAAGAGACATATTCCAACTATGAGTCATGAGAAACGGTGTTGGCAAAGGACATTTGAAGTAAACAATACTTAACCTAGATGCTCTGGTTAATTTCATGTGTCAGCTTGACTGGGTCACAGTCCTCTGATGCTTGATCAAACATTATTCTGGATGTTTCTGGGAGGGTTGTTTTGGATAAGATTACTGTTTAAATCAGTGGGCTTTGAGTAAAGCAGATTGCCTCCATAATATAGGTGGGCCTCATCCAGTTAGTTGAAGGCCTGGATAGAACAAAAGACTCACCCCCATCCCCGCCAAGCAAGAGAGAATTTGCAGGAGATGGCCTTCGACGCGAACTGCTGTATCAGCCCCTTCCTGGGCCTCAGCCTGCGGACCCACACTTTAGGTTTGGGGCTTGCCAGCCTCCATAACTGAGTGTGCAATTTTAGAAAACAAATAATCTATATCTATATCTATCTGTCTAATCTATCTATCTATCTATCTATCTATCTATCTATCTATCTATCTATCTAATCTATCTCTATCTTTATACACACACACACACACACACACATATATATAAAGATACAAACAGTACTGGTTCTATTTTTCTGGAAAACCCTAATGCGCTCAGAAAGCAGAGATGGGGTGGAGGGCCTGACAAATATTCAGAAATACCTGGAGGGCTTTCATGGAAATAGATTCAGATTTATTTTGTGTGACTTTTGAGAGATCCAGATCCTCGGATTGAAATGAGAGGCTGGCAGTGTGTAGCTTAATAGAAGCAAGACAACAAAAATTGACATTAATACAAAAATTTTCTAAAAATAGAAATTGACACATGAGATGGCAAAATTCAAAACAATTTTGTTGTTTATCAAGTTAGTGTATAATCAGTTGTACAGGATATTTTAGAATGGATGCAGTGTGTCCATTGGGGGATGGAATTATAAAGATTTTTAGAAGTTTCTAGTCTAATAGCCCATATTTCTGTTAGTACACGTGAAGGGCTGAGAAATATTTGTTCAATACATGGAGGAAGAAACAATATAGTTAATAAAAAGCTGAAGATATAGTTACAGGTTTTAAATGGGAAAATTCAGACACCTATACTGCATGAAATTAGGAAACACAGATAAGAGCATAGCCCGGGAGAGTGACGGGTCCGGTGTCTGGTCACTTTAACACTACTTGTAGACGTGGATAGCAAACTGCAGGCCACAGAGCATCAGTAAAGATCTGTGAGGTGTAAAGGGGTGACAGCAAGCACAGCTTTTGTGTCATTATAGTTATACAATAAAGGCAAAGAGCTTATTATAGAGACTTCATTTCTACAGGTCTCTTTCTAAGAGCGTTGTGTATATTTTCTAAAATAAATTCAGGATATTTCAGATGAACTCATAAATTGCCCATCTGTAAGGATTTCAAGAGAGGATTCCTTTGGAATACTGTCACAAAATGAATGGTTAGGTTGCCCAGCTTTTTTGTGAATGAAATTATGGGTGGTTACATATTTGGGTTACTTGAAAGGGACAGTATCTGTGTCGACAAAAAGAGTCAGGAAAGGCGCTGTGTTCTGTTGTTCTTTAATTTCTTTGGGACTGGGCTGCTTTACTCTTTTCCCAAATGGTTTATCTAGGGGTCTTGGACGATCCAGGGTCCCAGATGGACATGGAGAGGTCTGCCTCTGGGGGAGGGGGCTCCTGTGGGAAGCCAGCACCTCCCCCCCTCCCTACGATGTGCAGGGCTCTGGCACTGCACCCATTCAGGGTGCCCGTGTCCATGCTGCATGTCCCCATCAGAGGGACAAGCCTGTGTTCTTATATTTTTCTACCTTAAAAAAGCAAAACTAGCTTCAAAATCCCCCAAAAGGACATGATGCCACCCACCCCTCCTGCTACGTCCTCCTTCTCTCACACATCTTAACAGCAAAATGTCCCTACTGCCCATCTCATTCCCTCTTAAGAATCTTCTCTAGTCAGGCTTTGGTGCTGAGCACTCCGGGAAGTCTTACCTGTCGACGTCCAGTCAGGTCTGGAGGCCAGCTGTCCCTTAGGCTGACCTGTGTCGCCTGCTACCTCAGAGCTCAGGTGTCCGCCTTCAGCCCTTTCCTGGGTGACCTCCTCCGGTCCACGTGGCTTTAAGCAGCATCTGTTTCCAAGGTTCCCACATTTACATCTCAGCCTTTGAGCTCCCGACTTGTACACCAGGCTCCCTCTCGCACGCCTACGGGCTTATCAAGTCAGCACAGCCAGGCAGAACCCCCGACTCACCCCCTCTGCACCCTGTTTTCCCTCCGGCGTCCCGATCTCAGTGGAGGGATGTGGGATGATGGTCCGACCCACGTTGCGCTGTGATCCGCAGGCCCGCAAACTTGGAGCGATGCTTGGTCTGCGCTTCCCCTCACTCCTCCCGCCAGAGGCCCCTGCATCCTGCTTCCCTCCTGAGTTGGCGCCTCCACCCCAGCCGAGCCACCATCCTCTCTCGGCTGGGCCAGAGCCAGCCTCCTGCTCGGCCTCCCTGCTTCCATGCCGGGCAGACACTGTTCTCTGTACGGCCTGCGGGGTGATCTGCTTAGAGACTGCCAGACCGCTTCACTGAACGGCTTCCCGCCAGGGTAGGGCGAGACCGCACCACCTGGCAGCTGCAAGTCCCTGCAGCCTCCCACGACTCCTGGCCTTGCTCAGTCTCCTCGCTGGCCACCTGCTTTTCCTCCACATGGAACTGCTTCCTCCTAGTTGTTGGCTCCCTGTTTCTGGAATGCTCTTTCTCTAGACCTTCACACCAAAATCATTCTCCAGCCTCTCTCCCCTGCCCCTGCGTCATACCAGCCCCATGGGCATTCCATGATGGGTACTTGGTACTTTTCTTGAAATCACGTTATTTATTTCCTGGTTGGGTTTATATCCCAAAGCTAGAATGTAAGCTCCGCTCATGGACATCTTGTCTTGTTCACTTTCTGCATCCAGTGCCCGGCCCATTGCACGTGCCCCCCTGAATCTAGATAGAATAAATTTGTGTGGGCCAGAAGTTGTTCAGAATATGATCTTTTCCAGAGGTTTCTGGCTGTCTCTCTACCTTTTAAAAGTTTGCAACTGAGAGTATTACAAGGCAAAGAAAGTAAAAACTGGCACTGAATGTGAACCTGATACAAGGGAGAACAGGGCAGCAGTGTTATTAAGTCCTGTGCTGATGGTTGCAATGCAAATGAAGTATCTGTGTCAGTGCCTTTGTGGTAGCAGCTTACAACGCACAGATTCATAAACTGAGGTCAAAGAAGTTCTTCCTGCAAGCACAGAGTACCAGAAGGGAGAAACGCATGTCCTGTTACATTGCTGTCACCAGTTCAGCTTCAGGGCTGAACAAAATTATGTTTTGACATCCATTTTTAAGTAATTTTCCTGTCATGTCTCCTCTGGATCAGGCACCACTGGGCATCCTCAGTGCCATAGATGTGCATTAAGCTCTCATTGTGGCAAAAATGCCAGGCCCCATGCTGCACAGCCTCTACTGGGGAAAGTTCCAAGCCACTTATCTGAGGACCCTGGGGTCAGTTAGCAATTCAGGACTTCTTTGAGTGTAAGAAGCTTAGTGCTTTTATGTGATACTGGGTACCACCCTGTAAGCAAACCCATTATAATTTCTGCAGAAGGTAATAGCCTCAGTAAGTAGAACAAACAAAATTATTAATCGCTTCATATTAGTTCTGGGAAGTTTCGCCACCAAATGAGTTCAGGTCACATGAGATTTTGTTCCCAGCTGAGTTTCAAAGAGCTTTATGGGGTCCTGAGATCGTGGCCTATGTGTGCTGACCTCCTGGTAGAGTGGAACTGCGTGCACACCCAGCTCGGATGAGCGTGCAGGATGCAGGGAGGATGGGCTGAAGCACTGGCCGGGAGGGGCACGTGAAGGGCCGGGGGGTGAGCGCCAGGAGGTAGGGGTGCCTGCAGTGCTGTGCAGCTGAAGCCCCTTTGCCAGGAGCTGACCCCTCCCCAGCCTGGGTCCAAACACTCTTCGCTGCTACATTTCAGCTGCCAAAATAGCTCCTTGAACTTGGTGCTTAGAGGGATTTGGCTCTACTAAAAATTGCAGCATTTCCTGCAGAGCTATTTGTGAGAATAGCAGTGGGGAAAGAGAAGTGGGTTGTTGAAAATAACAGGGTGAACTTGAAAGAGGAAGAAAATGAGGATTAGAATAGGGGCAGTGTTCCTCATACTGAAATTCCTCACACTCAGTATTCTCTAGGGGGTTTTCACTCTCATTTTTCTTAAGGGGCAGAAAATGGAAATTTAAAAGTAATATATAGGCAGTCTCTCTGGCCTCTTCATTGAGACTCATCAGCCCTTTTGTAGCTATTCTAATGTAAGAAAAATAGTAAACCTATGGAATAACCTGAAAGAAGATGAGTGTCAACATCTTCAGTCCAGCTTTGGAAGGCGATCGCGTCTGCCGAAGCCCCTGCTCTTGTGCTGGCTGGTAACCAGGGCCTGGGGCTCTTTTCCTCTAGTAACCGTGTTTGTGCCGCATTCGGGAGGCATGATGCATTTCCCCATCTTCAGACAGTGGGTCTCAGTCAAACCGTATGGCGCTTTCTAGTTCTTATATCAGTTCTTTGATCTAGAATCTGTCAGAGGAACACTTAGAAGAGGCCCGTTGTTTCTTCTGCTTCTATGAAGCTGCCTTACAGAATCAGTTTCCATACTGGGAGGCTTGCTAGTTAGAGGTTATTTGATAGTTCTTCCCCTCGTGTAAAAATACGTGCTTGTATTGACCTTAATTTCTGCTTTCCTGTGACGTCTGCTCACTCGATCCGGAGCTGTGCTTTGGACCCGCACCGTATTTGCCTTTCCTCCGTCACTGCTGATGCGGCACCTGAGGAAGCCCGTGGCCTCTGCCTGTACCATTCTTTTGGCAAGATGCAAAACGATGAAATCCAGTCTTGGGGACCATTACTAATATTTTACTTTTTTAAACCTTAGAAACATTTTCAAGCTTTGCGGGGGGCCCTTTATTATCGATGGGGTGTGCGCCGTACTGAAGAGCTCCAGTGAATGTTCCATGTGAGGCTCTGCCTGAGTGACGGTGGGAGGAGGGCCCAGCCGGTTCTCGAAGGTTCTTATGTGCAGAGCATTACCAAAACGCCCATATTTGGGAGCTATGGACTAGAAATACGGAGTTCCTTAGGAGTGCCAGGAAGCTTGTCACGTCTCTTATTGTCTGAATAGCCCGAGAGAACACTTGGATTTGGGTATTCCCTGAAAACACACTTACTTGGCTAAGCCAGCCCTGCGTCCAGGAATTCCCCAGGCCCCTCCCAGGGCCTGCTGGCTATATGTTCATTAGAATTACTTCATTGGAAGGGAACCCTTACACAGTTCAGAAGTGCCTCTCCTGGCCACAGGAATTCTTTTTGAACAGCTCTGTTGAGTTATTCTTTGCATGGCATATTTGTATATAATTCAGTGAATTTAGTGCATGTATGCTTATGGCCCATCACTGCAGTCTAATCTGTAACATTTCCCTCCCCTTAAAGGAAACCGCATTGTTGCTCAGGCTTCCTGGAAGGTGGGTCTTGGGAATGCCACTTCTGTGCAGATGAAGACGTGAAGGTTCCAAGACCACCTGTGTTCCTTATTTCACACCCGAGAGAGGCCCATTTGAGGGGTGCATTGCTCGAGAAGCGCTCCATGTGTGCATCATCAGCTGTAAGGCTTGGCACAAACGCGAAGGTGTGTGTGGTCACCCTCTGCACTGTCACCACCCTCGCTTCCCTCCCCCAGGCTCCTCAGTAATTGGGTCTTGACACTTGCTTTTATTTTTGAGTGAAAATGTCAAATTGTGTTTGATACTGTCTAGCTGAAATTGCTAATATGCACTCTTAGTTTTAATTAATAAAGCAATTTAACCATCCAGTAGAACCTCTTCTGTGTTACCTGTGTTCTCTTGGAGGGGGTGCAAACCTGGCTCAAAGCTTAAGCTGGGACCCCAGGGTATCTGTTCCATTTGGTGCAGAAACCACCCCACCCCCATGTAGTAGGAACCTTCTAAGCATGCTGCAAGTGCACCCAAAGTGACTCCATTGTGTACAGATTAGAGGAAGGCAAGGTTTGGGCCCGTTTCTGGCGTCCTTAGGGGTGTCTAAGGGCAGAGGCCAGCCCGTTCCTGACCCTGAGGGTGGCTCCTCTTGTCTGCCTGATGGGCTCCGTGCAGCTGGGCTCCTGGGAGCTGTTTGATTCTGCGGTGTCTTACTCTGCGCTGGGTGGCCGACCGTCTTACATTCTTCTTTTTTTTTTTTTTTTTTT